ACAGAGCTCAGAATAAAATATGTATCAAAATATTTATGTTCTGCTCCAGTCGGGGGTGTAGAAAAATTGGATTTTTCTCTGTAATAAGTGTTATTGTTCTTTTAGCTGGCCTGCTGATACCATTCCAGGTGGCTCCTGGGATCTCAGGGCTCTGGAAAACAAGCCAGGCAGCAAAAAACCTCAGGAGGTTCCACTGGCTGCTGAGGGAAAGCTGACAGCTCAGTCCTGCAGATCAGCACCACAGCAGGGGGAGGTGAGCAGCAGAAGCTCACAGAGCCAAGTGAGCTCTAGCAGTGACTGTGGCAGTTCTGTGTGACTGACTGTCTGGGAGTCCAGTCGAGGGTCTAGTGATGAGTCCTTTAGGAGGAAGGGCTACAGTTCAGAATGAACAGCCAGTCTCAGATGTACTTAGGTGAGGTAGATGGTGCTCCACACTTTATTTCATGTGAGACAGGGATTTATAATCCCTGGGCAATGGACAGGGGTTTTGAGGAAGAATGTTATGGGACTTAGGATGCTGGCAATGCTCCATTTGTAAGGGGAAAGATAGGAAGTGAGAAGATCATGTGACTGACCACCTCTAGCCACCTGGGTTTAGTGTCACTTGTTCCTGAGGCAGGCACAGAAGCAGGAGAGAGCTTTGTCCCTCACTTTCTGTTCTCAGGATTAGATATTAATCTCAAGTTTTGGATTTCCTGGGTTTGTACATGCTGCATCTTGGCAGTTCTGTGCCAGTTCTTCTAGAGGCACAGTCTGTGAGTCCCACAGAGAATATCGTAGGGGCATGATAAAAGCAACAGCAAAGACACCTGGTTGCTTGAAATAACCAGTGTTTAAATATCAGGAAAGACTCTTATTAATGAAATCTTACAGATTATTTAGGAGATTATAGGTGAGTTAAACAGGACAAATTCTCAAACAGAAGCCAAAATAAAACTTTTTTTTTCTTCTTTCCCTTCCTTCCTTCCTTCCATCCTTCCTTCCTTCCTTCCTTCCTTCCTTCATTCCTTCCTTCCTTTCTTTCTTTCTTTCTTTCTTTCTTTCTTTCTTTCTTCCTTTCTTTCTCTTCTTTCTCTTCTTCTTTTTATTAATGAGGATTGGATTGTAAATCAAATCCATAAATACAGTTTAGTATGTTCTTAAAATCTGGCTCAGCAGGAGGATAAGGCTCAAACCAAGTAAAAGAAATCATATGCAAGCAGTCCACTCACTGGAATCTCAGAAAATTAGATACTGTTTTTAATGACTCCCAAAAGAAATAATAATTATTTACTATGCAATTGTTTGAGCTGACAAGTGTGCGGGTCCCATCAAACAAAGACGCAAACAGGTTGGAGAGTGTCAGCTTACATAACTTCCTAGGTGTACACTCTCTACACGTGCTAATGACTCATTTTGGAAATTGAAAAAAGCAGCATGAATCGTCTGACTTCCACGTAGAGCCACTTAGCTATCACCATGGATTATGAATCACTGTATAACAATGGATGAAGTTCACTTAATTCCCTTTAAGTTGGATTTTACTAAATTATAAATGAGGCTCATATATTTAAACTACAGGAAATATTTGCAGGTTAGATGATGAGATTTTCTGCAATAAAGAAGGGCTTTCTAAAGAGTATAGAATTTTCAGAAGGTCTGAATTAAAAGAGAGTAATTTATATTGAGCATATAAAATTCATATACAGACAACATGTCATTGGAAACCTTGCCAAGAATGCAAAGTAATGCTCACCCAACACAACTGTCATTTCAAGTTTTCTTCTTTAAACATTTTCCTTCCTATCATTCCATTCTTATCATGGCCTGGAAACCGCCATGTCTTTTTGCATATATATAATATTGCAATGCTGAGCTACAATTTTTGAATTCTTAGAGACTATCTACTGCTATACACATGACAGTAATGGGAGTAATAAGCCAATGTCTTCACTCCATCAGTGACTAAGGTTAAAAGAATTAAATATATTTCTCCAACATACACAACAATCAAGACCATTATTGTTATTATTATTATTACTTACAATTTATTCACTTTGTATCCCAGTTGTAGCTCCCTCACCCATCTCCTCCCAGTCCCACCTCCCTTCCCTCTTCCTGCCCCATCCCTCTTCCCTAGTCCACAGATAAGGGAAGTCCTCCTTCTCCACTGTCTGATCCTAGCCTGCCAGGTCCCATCAGGGCTGCCTGGATCTTCCTTCTGTGGGCTGGCTAGGTCATTCCACCAGGGAGAAGCACTCAAGGAACAGGAAACAGAGTTCATGTCAGAGACTGTCTCTTTTCCCCTTTTTAGGGTACGCACTTGGACACTGAGCGGTCTTTGGGCTACATCTTAGCAAGGGGTCTAGATCCTCTCTATGCATGATCTTTAATTGATGCATTAGTCTCTGCAGTCCCCCCTAGGCCCAGCATTTTACGCTTTGTTGGTCTCCTTGTGGGGCCCTTGTCCCTCCAGAGTCCTTCTATATCAGATCAGAAACCACAATGATCTTTGCACTAAACTAAATTTTGGCTTATCTAAAAATCAAGGTATAATCATGTTGACTAAACTTTAGCTAAAATTACTAATGACTACCTACATACATGCATACTTGATTTATAAATTTTTTTCTAACCAATTAATATACTTATCTCTTATTCTTAATCCTAAATGTAAATAAGTTGGTGCTATGGTAAATGTTAGGGCTCCATGAATTCCATCCTCTATGTGGTCATGAGTAACTTGAACTCCAACATTTCTAAGCCGTGCAACATAAATTAATCCATCATCTCTTACAATGTCATGTTCACAAGTGAGGATGTAGGTCAGTGGCAAATTCTGTAACTGGGAGTCACTGGCTAGCAAAGGGGACATCCTGCTATCCAAGAGTGCTGGATAGGAAGCCTTTAGTTTGCCAAGAACTGGTTCAGTGTAAACATGGTTCTTTTTATACTTGTCAGGAAGAAAGTCACTCCAGTTAACAAACTTGAACAGGTGTCTTGATTCTTCAGGCATATGCTCATTTCTTAGTATAGCTTCTTTCAGGGCTGTGTCTTCAGACAGGTAGAGGCTTGCCAACTTAAATGCCATCTTCCTTGACAGAATGGGACCATATTCATAGTCTTGATGGGATGGCATCAAGATGTCAATAATCTGTAGTCCAGGGTATACCAAGGCTTGTGCCTTAATTTTATCTTTGTACTCTGGATTACTCTGGAACTGTAAATATAGAAATTGTACTCAATAATTTTTATACAAAAGTATTCATAGCTTTATCTTAATAACAGGGTAAATAATATCATAAAGTGTAAACACTAGTGATAATTCTCTCCACATTTACTCATTGCTGTGGAGATGAGAGGATGTGTCATTTTACATTCATCAAAGAAAATACAGTGCACGCTTCTACTTCCTCACATTTATTCATAGGATGGTAATCAAACAAAACATTGCCAGGGGTTTCCAGAGAAGATAACGGAAAAACTGTGCTTAAGACTACATCTTAAAAATTCATTTTGGGGTGTCTGATTATGTGTAATGTGAGAGAGAAAGAGAGGGAGGGGCTATGTTTGTATATACCATATTATTTTGGAATACGCTGCTTTCCATTCTCTGTGTCCCAAACGCTCAGGTCATATGTATGTGTCCCCATGCTCATCATCCTTAAAACACACACACACACACACACACACACACACACACACATCTTATATGTATAATGTGTATGTATGAACAAAACAACATGTAAAAATAAGTTAAATTTGACATGTAAATTAAAATGGAACTTTAACATGTTACAGGTAAAAATTCAAACATGAATCCTAACTTTAGGAAAACAAACAGGGTAATTTACAAAATCAATAAAGCAGAAAAACATGTGGAATGTTGGTCTATATAGCCCTGTCTTTATGTGAAAGAGAAAATGCTCTGAGTTTGCAGATGTAGGAAGATTCTCTTTCCTTTTTTTTTCTACTTATGAAAATTCATTCAAGAACCTGCAGTGAGGTCTGAAGGGTCATTACTTAGTCATCTCATGTGAATCTACAGTAGTGCCATATCCACAGATGTCTGCATCTGCAGCCCTCCATGGGAGAGTTCAGATCTGTTTAGGTCAAGGACAGGCCCTCATCCAAGAAGTTAATTTATCTAAAATGGGAGGATTAGTTGAAATTTTAAGAAAACATAAGGAAAAGTGTCTGGCCAACTAAAAAATACAAACACATAATAGATACAAGATTCCACAAATTAAAGAGAGAAATAATTTCCTAAGAGAATATTATATAGTCTCTTGATCTAAAAAAGGAGTGCAGTATTATCAGAAGAGTCAAGGAGAAAACAGTATGGAACATGGAACCAAAACAGAGGGAGATTCAAGTGATGGCTTCTCCATAAGCAAGCTAGGGTGATCCCAAATGCATTGGTAGATTCTTTTTTAAATAACTAATTTTTATTTATTAAAATTTATTCACTTTGTAGCCCCCAGCTATAGCCCCCTTCCTCGTCCCCTCACAATCCCACTTTCACTTTTCTTCCATGCCCCTCTTCCAGGCCACTGACAGGGAAGGACCTCCACCCCTTCTATCTGACACTAGCCTATCATGTATCAAGAGTACTGGGTGCACTGTCTTCCTCTGTGCCCTGATAAGGCTACAATGAGGGGGGGTGTTAAAAAGAGCAGGCCACTGAGATCATGTCAGAGACAATGCCAGCTCCTCTTACTAGGGAACCCACTTGGAGACTGAGGTGAAATGGATAACATCTAAGCAGGGGGTCTAAGGAACTCTCCTTGCATGGTTCTTGGTTGGTGTATCAGCCTCAAAAAAAGACCCCTGGGCCCAGATAATTTGGTTCTATTGTTCTCCCTGTGGAGCTCCTGTCCCTTCCAGGTCTTTCTATCTACCCTTTCTTTTATAAGATTCCCTGCATCTCTGCCTAAATTTGGCTATGAGTCTCAGCATCAGTCTCCTGCTGGGTAGACTCTATCGGAGACCCTCTGTGGTGGCTCTTGTCCTATTCCCTGTTTTCTCCCTCTTCCAATGTCTATCCTGTTTGCCTTTCTGAATGAGGATTGAGCATCTTCCCCAGGGTCCTTTTTCTTGCTTAGCTTCTTTAGGTGTACATATTTTAGTATGTTTATCCTATATTATATGTCTAATATCCAGTTATAAGTGAGTAGATCTTATGTGTGTCTTTTTTCTTCTGGGATACCTCACTCAGAATAATCTTTTCTAGTTCCCATCATTTCATGATTTCCTCATTTTTAATTGCTGAGTAGTATTCCATTGTGTAAATATACCACAAATTCTGTATCCATTCCTTCGTTGAGGGACATCTAGGTTGTTTCTAGATTCTGGATATTATGAATAAACCTGCTATGAACACAGGTAAGCAAATGTAAGCTGGAGACAAGTGCATCCCTGGATTCAACTGGCCACCTAGTTTGTCAGAATTTTGCAACTTAAGGTGAGTGAATCAGCTTACTTCAAATGAGATCAAAAGTAAATATGGAATGTATGGATGTCTACATGCTTGAGCACACATTTAAGCATGAACCAGCACACATGTATATGCATTTACATGAAATAGAAAAGAATTATGAATAAAATTCTTCACATTTTAGAAAAATGAACAAGAATAATGGCTTTCTTTGCAGTAGTTCAAATTTTCACAGGTTCAAATCAAAAGAAGCTGAAAAAAAAATCCAGAACAAAAACACGTTAGCTTAAACTTGAAGGGTTAAAGGGTATGACTAGGAAGAACAGTATCTGAGGTTCAAATGTTAGTATTACCATGCAGTCCTGAGACACTTGGTCTCTTCATTCAATACCCATTGTACTAAAGCTACTAAACTTTTATGATAGGAATATCTGCCTGTATCTCATACTGTATGGTCACACTACTATTCTTTATTATTAGATACCTAAAATAGTAGATCCCAATGCACTGAAACTTCCAGAATATCACATACCAAATCTCCCAGAGAAGCTCTGAGAATCAGGAGCTCCAGCTCCAACCCTTTTGTCCTTTTGTAAAATAGCAATTATGGAAAACTACCTGTTGCCTGAGTTATTCCAGGACTTAGGAGCTGTCCTAGGAACAGTTTCACAAGTCTCAATGTTGGCCATGTAGATGGATAACAGGTCTCACCTGACCAGAAGCATTTGAAATTGCAGAGCACAGACGTGGATCTATAATAAACCTTTGCTTTTTACCTTTTCCAGCAGCCTTTGTGGAGTCACACCGCACTTTTGGGGAAGACTATAACTATTACCATGGAATATATGAGTAGTATTAAACTCTAAAGATACAAAGAGACTTTCTTTAATTTTCTGGCCTCCCAAATGTTGGAAGGAAAGTGCTGCTAAACACATGGCTAAACAATGTCTCCTCAACCAAGAAAAGCCGTGGTCTGGCAAAGACGTGATCTGACTATCAAATACCGTGTGGTAAATGCTTGAGTTATTTTTCGATCTGTCTTGCAGGCCACCTCATAGAATTTCATTAGCTATTTCACAGATGTAGAGTCAGGTACACAAAGAGTAAAAGGAAGTATACTTGTGGTGCCCAGTGCAGCTGCTAGAGTGAGATGTAAATACTAGAACCAGCCAAGGAGAAACCCTGTTGACAGACAGGAGCAGTGAAGGCCTCAGCATGTCAGCCCAAGGGCAGAATAGTCAAACCTCTAGAGAAACACAACATACCAATTGAGTTGCTGCTGTTGCCAACATAGCGCCAGAACTCTCTCCAGAAACACAAATGCGAGCAGGATCTACTCCATACTTGTCAAGGATTTTGTCCTGGAGAAAGAATTTGACCACAAGAACACAGTCTTCAAGGGCAGCTGGGAATTTATACTGAGGAGCAACCCTGTAGCTTTACACAAAAACACAGACAACAACAACAATAAGAAAATCCACAGATTTCTTTCAATTTCACCAACAGATATATTAATAACATTGGTCTCTGTTTTGAACCTTTCATTAGACTTAGCACTGGATCTGTGCTACAATGAGTGAGAGAGGATGAGACCTCACCCTCATTGTGTCTGAAGAATTTACCAGGCCCTCTGTGAAGTTGCTGACTCAAAAGTAATCCATAAGTATTGAAAGAATTTCCCAGGAAAATGTAAAATAAGAGAATATGGTCTCCAATTATATATAGGTACATTCATTTAGGAATTGATTTCGGTCAGAATACTATAAAAATACAGAATTTCATATCACAAACCAGAGAACTTGAATTAGACTTCTTTAGCTATTTATATACCAATATAAACAGTGTTATTCATATAGTTCTTGTGGGTTTTTATAGTTCAAATAGTGTCTAAATGTTTTAAAATAATAAAATATAAAATATTTATTTTAAATATATATAATTTAAAAATATGAACACATGTCAACGTAAATAATCACAAGTACCTAAAGAATTATACAATTTTAAAGTAAATGTAAAATAACACAGCATTTCAAAATCTTCTATAAAATAATAATGTGCTAGATATTGTTAAAATTACAACAGGAAAGCCAGACCATCCTTAAGATTGTAAGTCAGATATTTCTGAAAATATATGTAATTATTCTAGTTGCTTCAAGGATTGATTACAAGGACAGCACTGACCCTTCCAGTATATTTACTTGATTCTATTACAATTGCAGTGAAGAGATTCCTTTCAACGTACTCAGGTCAGTCCACAATTCTGTAAATCTATTCTGCACTATGGAGTTGACCGGAAACATTCACCCTCATGATGAAGGTTTCATAAATATAGAGTACATCCAGTAAATGTTAATGTAACATGTATCTTCCCATCCTTGGTATATGATGGAAACTTGGGTCAAAGTCATGATATATGAAGAAGTATTATTGAGGAACACTTGAATGTCCCAACATTGATCATCTAATATTACTAAGTCCATGAGAAAATCTAACCTACAGCGTTTTTATTAGTAGCTCAAGGTAAACACATCCTAAGACTGTAGTGGCTGCTCTTTCTAGGTTAGAAAAAAAATTAAATTTAAGCTCAGAACAGGGATCCAGCCATGACTGAGGCTTAGATGACTTGTTTTGTAAACCAAGCCTAGTCTGGGAGGGCTATGACCATAGCATGAGAATTGTCATTCTCTTACTCTATTCCCACAACAACAGCATCAAGGTTGTTTGCTGTCCATCGGTTCAGATCATCATAGGGCTGCATCTCTGAAATGAAATAGACAAAAACAAAAGTGTGCTTGGTGGATTATCAAGTTACAGAAACAAAACTAAGTCTAAGAACAGTGATAGAAATATAAAAGGGAAACAGCATTTCCGTACTAACTCCATAAATCCAGCACACACATACACAAATGCACACACAAACACATATACACACTCACAGAAACACACTCACACACAAATACACTCACTACACACCTCCACACTCACATACACACATACTTACACATGGTACATACTCATACACACACACCTCCACACACACATACCTCCTCACACATATTCACTCAAACACACATGTCCACACACACATGCACACATCTACAGGCGCACACACACTTCTACACACATACATGTGTACAAAAAGACCTATACACACATGCACACAAAAGTACACACATACATACAAGCACACACATATACAAGTACACATGTACAGGCATATAAATACAAATAAGTGTTCCCTGCAGAAAATATATTTAAATTTTTTAAATTAAATAAATGCACACCAAGCTCAAGTCTACATTAAGAAAATCATAATTTTCAGTTTAGTTTAATGCTAGGTATAGAATACAATGTTATCTCAATATACAAAAATAATGATAAATGTTGCATTCCATATAAACAAACTTAAGAATGAAAATATTATCTAGGTAGGTAAAAAGAGAAGGTACTCAGTATTTTCTATAACTTGTTGTAAATTTAACGAAAAAATTAGAAAGAGATGAAATTGAAATGTATCACAAGGCAATAGAAGCTGCAAAGAACAAAGCGATGGTCACCTGGTTAAAAGGTGAATGTACTTTTTAAACTGTCTGGCACAATGCAGTGATACTGCTCTCCAAAGTTTTAATAGACTTACAAGAGTTAGGTAGAGCAATAAGAGAAGAGGAAGGAGTAAAGGAAGAAAGAACTCTGGGTGTTGGGTGAGGTAGCTCTGTGGGGAATGCACTCACTAGCATAAGGGCAGGAATTCAAATACCCAGTGGCTTTGGAAGTATCTGAAGGGCTCGAGAAATAAACCGTAACACCAGCACTCAATAGGAAAGAAAAGCCAGCCAGCTATGACTAGTCAAATCAGAGAACTCTAGGTTCAATGACTTATCCTAAAGAAGCAAAGTGAACACTCTAGAAAGCATTTGTTAAAATTATGCAAGTAAATATCTCACTCGCTCCAGAAGATACACTGATGTATTTCATGACCTTCGAATCATAAATCTCATCAATTAACTCCAAGCTCACTAGTGACTTCTGTCTTAAAGTGAGGAGTGGATTCTGGTTAAGGGTTTCAGGTACTGGAGGTAAGAAGGAAGGAGTGGAACAGGAGGTGTGTTCACACTGTGAAGTCTGCATTTTTCAGTAGCCCTCAGTGCACTTGGTGACTAAAAAGCAATTCAACATCACTAATAGTAATCCTAATAGTAATTACCCTGAAATGTTTTAATCCATGCCTAAAATATTTGACATTAGGAGAAAAGTGACACCTAGAGGACACAGTGTCTAAGGGGCAGGACAGCAGTGATTGCATAATGACCAACAGACTGAGCTCTGGGCCCTAGTGATTGTGTTTCCCTGGTGCGACGAATCCCACGGTGTGGGAAGCAATGGGGTCCATACTCAGGTCACCAAGCTAAATCTTCAAAGATTTCCTGGGTCCCAGCAGGCACTCAGTCACCTGCCCATAGCCACACACATGTACTCTGATAACCATCCCAGACGGAACTGTGGGCCCCACATCACCAGAGACTGGGCTTAACAGTCGAGAGAAAATCCAATGGTGAAAGAAGCAACCAGGGCTGAGCTTAGGTCACCCAAACAATCTCTGGAAAAGGTCCTGGACTCTGGCAAGTGCTCAGCCACCAGCCCAGAGATCCACCTGCATGCCCTACTCACCATCCCAGAGAGAACTGTGGACCCCAGGCTACCAGAGACTGAGTTTCCTTGTCATGGGAAAAACCCATGTTGAGAGAAACATCAGGTCTGACCTCAGGGCATTCAGCCAATACCCCCTCCCAAACACGCACACACTGAAAAGTTCTAAGGAAAAGTTCCCTTGTTCTTGCAGGCACCCAGTCACCAGTAGGGAGCCACTCCCATACACTTCCATGCTCAACTCACCATCAACACTGAGCTGTGGACCACAAAACACCACAGACTACATTCTCCAGTCGGGTGGAAATTCCACGGTGGGGGGAAACATCGGTCCAACCTCAGGACACCCAGCTCCAGAAAAGCATGTATGAGTGCTGTGCTCACCTGCAACTGATTAACGCTTGAGTACTGGAACATAGACCTCCAACTTCAGACCTACAGAAGCCTGGGATCCAAGGGATCAATCCCCAGACACTGCTCCATTGCACAACCTGTTTCCCTAGCCAAACTGACCAAACTGCAGGGTTCCCTGGTTCTTCAAGAGGGCTGTGCCCAGCAAACAAGGTCTAAGAGCAGCAGCAGCAGCTCATTAAATTCAGAGCAAGAAACCCAGCATCAGGGTAGCTGTCTTCAGGAGTTCTTCTGGTGAGAGAAGAGTACCACTGACAACCAACGACCACAATTACCACACAGGCCCATAGGCCTGAGGTGAGCTGTGGCAATTCCTGAGAAGACTGGCCATTTAATGACCATATCCAAAAAGCTGAGGAGGCCTCCTTCAGGAACAACCATCTTCTTCCAGGGGGATTCTCCCCACCCCTGGATTCCAGAAACCACCAGAAACTAACAACCAACATCTGAGACAGCTAGATGGGTAGAGGCCAGCATAAAAGCCCAACCAACAAAGGCCAAAGCAATATGTCATCTCCAGAACCCAGTGATCCAGGAGCAAGTAGCCCTGGACACCCTATCATAAGTGAAATTCAAGAAGATGACCTTATGTTTATGCTTATGAAGAGGATAATGGAGAAAAAAATGCATGGAATCTTATGAAAGAAGTAGGAAATAGTAAGATCTGGAGAGGACAGAAACTCCACAAGGAGAGCAACAGAACCAGAAAATTTGAAAACAAGGGTCTTTCCAGAGACTCATACTCCAACCAAGTACCAGGCATGGAGATAACCTAGATCCCCTGCACAGATGTAGCCCATGGCAGTTCAGTGTCCAAGTGGGTTCCATAGTAATGTGAAGAGGGAATGCCTCTGACATAAACTGATTGGCCTGCTCTTTGATCACCTCCCCTGAGAGGGAAGCAGCCTTACCAGGCCACAGAAGATGACAATGCAGCCACTCGTGATGAGATCTGATAGACTAAGATCAGAAGGAAGGAGAGGGGGATCTCCCCTATCAGTGGACTTAGGGAAGGATATGTGTGAAGAAGAGGGAGGGAATGTGGGATTAGGAGGAGAGGAGGAAGGGGTTTATGGGGGGATATAAAGTGAATAAAGTGTAATTAATAAAGTTTAAAAAAAAAAGCAATAGATGAAGATAAAGTCAAACAGATTATGGTCATCCTTAAAGAAATAAAGGAAGATAATATCAAACAGATTAGGGCCATCCGTAAAGAAATATTGGAAGATAATATAAAAAAGAATATGGCTATCCATAAAGAAACACAGGAAGATGCAGCTGAACATTTTGTGGCCCTTAGAAAGAAAATTATTCAATCACTGAAAGAAACAAAAGAAACAGAGGAATGTTCAAACAAACAGCTGAAGAAATTGAAGGAAAAACAGGATAATACAGTCAGACAGGTGAAGGAAATTAACGAAATAGTTCAAGATCTGAAGATAGAATTGGAAAAATTAAAAATAACACAAATAGAGGAAATCATGGAGAGGAAGAACTAAGGGAAGAAAATAGGAACTACAGCATAACCAACAGACTATAAGAGATGTAAAAAAGAATCTCAGGTGTGGAAGATACAATGAAAGATATCGATGTATCCGTCAAAGAAAATGTTAATTCTAAAAAAACGTCATGACACAAAACATCTAAGAATTCCACGACAACATAAAGACAAAACCTATGAATAACAGGAAAAGAGGAGAAAGGCCCAGAACATAGTCTCCAAGGCACAGAAAAGATTTTCAAGAAAATTTTCCCAATTTAAAGAAAAAGCCTATAAGCATACAAGAGGCCTACAGAACACCTAATTAATTAGACCAGAAAATTAAAATCCTCCTACAACATAATAATTAAAACAATATGTATACAGACCAAATAAAAAAATAATAAAAGCTATAAGGGAAAAGGCCAAGTATCATGTAATGGCAAACCCATCAAAATCACACCTGACTTTTCAAAAGAGACTATGAAAGCCTGAAGGGCCTGGACAGATATCACGCACACCCTAAGACAACACAGATGTCAGCTCAGACTACAATACCAACAAAACTCTCAGTCATCATAGATGAAGAAAACAAGATAGTCAATGACAAAAACAAATTTGAACAATACCTACACACAAATCCAGCTTTACAGAAGATACTAGACGAAAAAAATACAACCCAAGAAAGCTAACTACATTCCGGAAAACACAGGGAATAAATAACCTCACTACAGCAAAACTAAAAGTAGCCAAACACACAAACACACTGCCACAAACAACAGCAAAATCAAAGGATCTAACAGACACTGGTCATTAATCTCTCTCAATAGCAATTGACTCAACTCTCCAATAAAAAGACACAGACTAACAGAATGGATACATAAACGAGATCCAAAAATTCGTTGAAACTAAGTCACAAAGATAGACATCACCTGAGGGTAAAAGGCTGAAAAAATGGTTCTCAAGGCAGATGGACCCAAGAAGCAAGCAGGAGTACCCACTCTAATATCTGATAAAATAGACTTTCAAACAAAATTAATCAAAACAGATGGGGAAGGTAACTTCATACTCATCAAAAGAAAATTACTCCAAGAAGACAACACAACTCTGAACATCTATGCCCCAAGTGCAAGGACACCCACATTTGTAAAAGAAACATTAACAAAAATTAAATTACTCATAGATCCCCAAAATTAATAGTGGGAGACTTAAACACCCACTC